CATGATTATTGCGTATAGAAATATACGTGTCGCGAGTGTTTTTTGTCAGCGGAAAAAAGTATTGGCATCTCAAACCCAGCGGACGTGGACGGGCTTTTCCGTACACATTTTCCCGAGGCAATCGTGTCGCGCGTCGGTCTCGTCGAGAAAACCCTATCTCGGCGGCGATGATCTGGTGTGCGACAGCGGGGGCGAGGCAGGGGGGGAACCCACGAAAATCGTTTTCCAAACACGTCGTTATAATATCATAGGCGACCGCCACGTGTACGATGCGTAATAAAGGAAAGATATCATTAGACTATTATGAATATTGTGCCGCTGCTGGCCGTTATCGTTTGCGTTCGTTTGTGAAATTATTGTTATACTCGCGTGCGAGTACAAGAACAATTTGTTATATAATATTATTATTGTGATGTGCGGGTGCAGCTGTATAAGGTAAGGTCGAGCCAACGCTGGCGAGCTAAACCAGCTCGTTTTGCGATTACGCTCTGTAATAAAATATACGTTTATCGGTCGACGTTCGAGCCGGCGGTTGTGGTGGACCAGTGTTGTAGCTAATATATTATTTTGTACGAAATATGCGCACATAATATAATAATAATAATAATAATAATAATATTATACGTATCATAATATTATAATGTTATAGTACATATCCGGCGTGAAAAAAAACCAGTCGTTTGATAACGGAAAAAAATCAATCTAAAAACTATTAATGTCTACGCGTATTATTATTAAACATATTGTACTGCACACAGTTGTACACGTACGATACAACAATATGCGCACACGTGTACATCTATGTATTGGGTTATATTATAATATCAGCGCTTTTCGCACTATTAGGAACACTAATGATAGTTAATAAATAGAATAAAATAAGGTAATAAATAAATAAAATCATAAAAAAAACCTACGGTCGATTGCTGCTGTCTGCTGATATTATATAATAATAATACACATTGAACGACGACCATCGCGTCTCGTCGGGAGGAGACGAATAATTTCTCGTGTGAAAATCGTAAAAGTGTGTGGATTATTATTTATGTTCCAACTTGTGTTTAAATATATTATTGTCTGTTACGATTGTACACGATATTATATTATTTATATTATATAAATGCCATTCATTCGTGTACTTAATACCTATAGTATTTATTATAGTGCTCCGCGGCGATTTGTTTTCGAAACAATAATCTCCGAACGATTATTATTGCTATCACCGCCGTCGTTGTGTACACAATGAAAAAAATATATATATATCACATAGTAAATAATTGATAAATTTTACTTAAATATTTCGCAAGACGTTCGTTCGTTGGAATTTGATTTATTGGCTTACACTTTTTTTTTTCCATTTCCAACACACCGAATGCCTACTTGTTGCTGTCGAATACACGTGCATTAAAAATTTAAATGTTTATTTTTTTATGTATATTATTATATGCGTGCACAATAATAATTATTAATTATATTAATCCGAACGATGTGTTCTTGATAATTACCGTCGCCGCCTTGTTATCGACGGGCCAACGTTGCCGTTATATATATTTAAACGCAAACCGGCAACGTCGCATAATTATTGTATGCGAGTGTGTCAGGCAAACACACACTCACTAACGGTTAAAATGTTGTTGAAAAAAAAAATAAATACCAAAAAAAAGACTATTTCGATAACCCTTTTACAGCCGATCACGCATGGGACTTTAGTACTTTACCACATAATATTGTGTAACATAATATAATATATTACCCATTCGGTTGTAATGCAGCTAAAAGGTAAAATCGTATTTTGTGTTTTTCACTGTTGTAGGTATAATATTACACTTAAATACGATATTCGGTCTATCGATCCATCGATCCTGTACAGTTAATAATGTTTTGTAATTTGACTATTCTATAGTCCAAAATGTTTTTCATATATTTGTTATTCGTATACTTGCATTTTATGTGTGTATAATACTTTAGGTGCCCTTTATTCTAAAATATCTAAATATCTAATATGATATAATATATGTTAATTAGTAAGTCCTATTTTTATATTTCGCCTAAATATTTTACTATAAAACCAGATACGAGGTTATGGCTCAGTTGGTCTACGTATTAGCTATTATATTAATGTAAAATTATTTAGCTGTAATTGATTTGGCTGAAATAAATAAATAAATATTCGTTAATGAAAATTCCAAATAAACGCACTTTGACAGATTTATATCAATATTAATGTCTGACCCATATCAATATCTCAATACCGAAAAAAGACAAATACTATATTATAGTCTTATGGTATTATAAATATACTATAAAAGTAAAATTTTCTGCCGGGAAACATTGTTAATAATATATCATGAACAAGCAAAGATATCTAAGAATTGATTAGGAAGAATTTGAGCCTGAACATATAGTTTTTTTTACTGTGATAGACATTATCATTGTATAAATAATTGTTTAATCCTCTTGGCAGTACGCCCGGTGAATACCTATAAAATATTTTGACTGTCAATAATTGTGTTTCTTGTGCGTATTGACGGATTCGGGGAATTAATCGAAACGCTTTTTAACGACCGGAAACCACGGCGGGAGTTGTAGTGTTTTGTCCTTTCGGCACACATAATTATCGTGCAATAAAGTATAATATAATGTGCCTACACACACATAGGTATCAGCCATCGTGGATTCGTCATTCGATGTGAATGTTGACCGTTTCGTTTGATTTTGGAAATCCTAAAAAAACATTAATTGTTGCTCAAAACATCGAGTACAGACAACCGAATAATGAAAAACCCGACTTGTCTATATAGTTTGTAAACGATGCGCAATCGTACAACATTATACGGCGCGGAGTTTATTATAAATAATAATAATAATAATACGTACTCAATCGATTAAACATATCGAAGCGATTAATAATGATATTATTATTGTTTCGATTTTATAATATGAAGGACGACCTCTGCGAGCACTATGTCGGTCACATACCGTCGTATTATGATTAAAATAATAATTTGTACAGTTGTAAGTTATTATGTAGGTATCATATTATAATAAAATTATCATTACTATTGTGATATTATTTATAATATTAGGCACCCATAAACAATCAAAGATGGGGAGGGGGTATGTAACGATTACATTTTTTTTACCCCGTCAACGGTTTTTTACTGTTGCCCGAAATAGATACATAACATGTATTACGCACAGGTGTAAATGCGTCTGCAGGTATTGCGACATATTATTATTAAATATTAAGAAGCACCAGTCGAATAAAATGATTTGCAGTATGCGACAACAATTCGTTTGGTACTCGGCGAAAAAACCGACGACGTATAAATCCAAAATCGTTGCCTGACATAATCAACTATGGGTGTTCATCGTTTCGACTAAAACACAATAAAATACGACTTGCATTGAAACGTAATATTATTTTCGTTACAGCCGAATTATTACTTCAGATGATTTTATGAAAGTCGACAAGTCTGTGTGACTGTGTCTTTGGGTAATTGGAACATTTAGAATAATCAGATAAAACTGATGTGGGTTATTGCAGTGGGTAGGTACGTATTTGTTTTCGTCGCAGCTCTGTATTATACTTCTCCGTGCATTTATAATAATAACTGTAAAACTTGCGAATTTTTACAATTGCTATAATCATTAAATTTCTATAAGTCACATCCATCCAGTGGCGCCGAACTCTAAATTTTTTTATGAAGCAAAATCTAAATTTTTTATCCAACCACCCACCCAGAGCAACTTTCCAGTCATCTAAATTTAAGAAATGAAACGACCGCTTGATATAATATGAGTTCGGCGCCATTGATCCATCCAATAAACATTTTTAAAGATCTAACCGATTAAATACAATACGATATGTGAATAATATGCATATTACAATACAAACAAATAAACAGCTGTAAATCAAAGACACGAACAAATCGCAAGAGCACAAACAACAAACTAAGACTTAACAAATAATAATAATAATAATATTATAGAAGAAAAAAATTCCAATTCTTGAAAACCCTTATTAATTATAATTATTAATTTTTAACTGAAAAAAAATTATAACACTATAATACCACATACATTATTATAATTAAGAGGGATCGATGATAATATAATATCAATAAAGTTAAATGTAAAATTAAATTAATGTATTAAAAAATCGTAGGGTTTTCGTTTGCAGTCGAAACGACGGGCTCATAATATGAAAATATGTTTACTTCGTGGACAGTTTTTTAAAATTATTTTCATATTATTGCCCGTCAGAATATTACAAAAATATAAAATATGATGTTATAATATTAATATTTTATGTGTAACGGCTATCGGCAGCGGATAACGAGCGTTCATTCTGCGCTTATCGCTGCAGCGTTTTGCTGCCGCTCGTTATCAGCTGTGTGCGTTGGCTCATGCCCGCGACCTTTGATACGCGGACGGACCCGGTCCCATACATTTTATAATAGGCGTTCCAGGCCGTAACCACGTCGATGTGAATAACACGACCGAATACTATCATAAAACGCAGTCGAGTGTAATCGGAATAATAATAATAATAATTATAATGATAATGATGATAATAATAATAATAATAATAATAATTATTATTATTATTATTATTAACTAATCGAATACTCGAACAAAGAATGATAATAATATAATATACCACTAATTTTGAAGTAATGGATGAACGTAATTTTATTTTTTTTAAAACCGAGCTCGAACCGATGACGTGTCAGTACTGAGTTAAGTCTCAGTGTGATTAGCAGCCCTACCGAGGAGCTTGTGTAAAATTGTCAAAACAATAACTTGGTATCACCAAGCCCCTCCCCCGCTCACTCGGACTTGATATTTCGAAATACACTGAAACCTTTTGGATTCGAACGTGCAAATTTGAAACCCGCGAAGAGGTAACTGCAGGATCCCCTGGTCACTATAGTGGAAAAACCAAATCCACTGAATGGCTTAATCTTGCGGCGGTTATTAATGGACTTCTGCGATGGTTTTTTTTTTTTTTACGCACAACATCGAAATATGGCCCCAAACACGAGTGGCCGTACATCTGTAAGAAAACGTCATAATACGAATCAATATAATTATTGTATCAAACATAAGTTGAAAAATAAATTCGCTTATAAAAATAACACAATAAGTATGAGGTCCTTTTTCGAAATATTTTCAAAATACCTAATTGATTGAAAACAATTGCGCGAGTTTCGTCAACGTCTTGTACCCAACCTAAAGCCTATACACACAAATATATTATGTATATTGATAACGTACACAAGCACACGTATATATAACAACTATATTAGAATACTAATGTGTTGTGCACACAACTATTATGAATACTTCAGCCACACGAGATAACATGTAGCAACCGTGTTTAAAAGGCCATCATCATTGACCGAAGACAACCAATCGAGTAGAAATAATCTTTTGAATATAATTATAATTCAACTGATACAAATGTAGTTTAAATGTTTTAATTTTAAACCATACATTGTCGACGATCGTGTTTACGACAATCCATTCATTTCAGACCACTTTTTATAATATAGAGTACAAATTCTTTAAATAGATATAAAATAATATTATGTAACATTCAGAATAAGCGAGTTATTTTTATATATATTTTATTATTATTACTATTATTATTATCACTGCTATAATGACGAGACGAATATATTGCTCCATTTGTGAACGCTAAGACTACGAAAACTTTCCAAAGTATGAAAAGTTTTTGATTTTAGAAAATCATATTTTATTTCAATTCGTCGCGAGGGACGAGAGTTCAAAAACAGAGTATTTTTCAGTCTGTATAATCAGCAGAATATTCAATGAAATCCACGCGTAAAACGTTTTATAACTTTTAAAATAATATGAACTTTTCACCAATCTAAAATTAAAAAAAACTTGTACTTAAACGAAATAATTTGAAAATTATATTTGGGAAGGAACAATATAATCATATTATAGATTGTATTTATTATTATATTTTACACAATATTAATTTATTGATAATTCATTAAAATAATTATAATTATGGATAATTTCAAGCGAGGTTTAATTTATTAATCACGCATTCACGCTTGTATTGATTTACGTTTAATTTGTACATAATATATTGCCATTGCTATTCAATTATAACCTGGCAGTAAAAAGTGATTATAGAAAGTTATAAGACGTGTGTGCGTGTTAATGAAAACTATACCATATAGGTACTTATAAATTGTTCGTAAATTACGATCAATTATTAAAACTCTTATGTTTAATTATTTTATAATTTTCTCGGTTCCAATAGTAATCATGAAAAATATTTCTCCAAGTACGTAATGTATGCACGCTATCTATAGAATATTAAAAATAATAAATTTGTTATTTTATATTAGGTACGTGTGCAACACAGCAGCACAGTAATAGTATATTATTATTATGTCATGAGTTGTAATAAGTTAGAAAGTCAATGTCATGACAAAACGAAAACAATATATCACATAAAATATACTCAAGGTGTCCTTTAGATCATAATTGTATTTTAATCGAATTTAAAAACATTTGTAGAACATTGTCTAACGGATAGCGATTTAGGTGTACTCAATTCAGTATTCACTGTGTACAGGTAATAAATTGTAGGTAATATTGTACATAACTCGTAATAATATTATGAAAGTACATCGAGTTATTCTGCGTTAGGAAAAAAAAAACATGAATATTTCGCACAGAAACTAATAACTGGCAACTAAATGGATTTTTTATTCATTCTTAGTATACAGGAAGATCTATAGTGCCTATTGTTTGTTTGGAGGGAGTGGTTTTACTGAACGCGAAAGATTGATCATAGAATATTCATAACTGTGCACAGAAAAAAAACTGAATATCATTATAATATTATATACCTGAGTACAACCATTATTGGAAGCATTATAGTATAGCTTTTAAAAGATCTATTAAAAACAATTATTTTCAGACCGATCATTAAATTAAGTGCCACAGTAGCCTTCGCTATAAATTACCACGAGAAAACTATTGAAAACCATAATCGTCTTTACGGACCTCAAGAAGTACACATAAAATAACGGACAGGGTCGTTTAAAAAAGGCCATATACGCTTTCGCGCACCCAACTATATATACTACACAAGTGTCTGTGGTGTTTGCCACAGTAATAATAGTAATATTATGATGGCTTCTGTGCGCGGATTTCCTTAAAACAACAGAAAAAAAAATGTGAGATGAGTCCCACATTAGTTAACACACTTCAAAATATAAAACGCATAATACTATCGACGTATGCACATCACGGCCGACTCTACTGTACTTAGAATGTAATATTATGTTTGGGATTATTTTTTTATTCGATCACGATCTCGTTAAATAAAAACTTTAAAACAATGAATAGGAAAAAAATACTCGCAGTATTCAACAATGTATGCTATATATTACTATTGGTGGCGTGGCCAGGATTTCTAAAAGAGGGGGGGGGGGGGCAATAAAAAATATTAATCAACGTAATGAATACAATTTCAGATTTCTATAGCTATATTATATTAATTACATAATATATCATACTGTAGTAGGTACACATATAATTTTATATACTAAATACTCGTCTATGGACACAGGTCCACTGACATGAAATCAATAAAAAAAAAAAAAAAAATACGGCACCATCTGCCTCCTGGCCACGCCACTGAATTTACTAGAAATTCTTGAAATAAATTCGTAACCATACAATGCAATATCAACTTGCGCATAATAATTATACTATAATATTGTACATATTACTGAGCACTGGAAAACCGAACGTACTCGTTGTCGCTAATAATAGTAATAAATAATAACTAAAAAGACTAACGCAATCATGGTATGTATACGCTTTCCGCGAGTTATCAGGAACAGTTAACATTCAAAACGCCTTTTTAAAAATTATTATTTTGTTGCAGAAGCAAATTATTCCAACGAGATGAGATTTGTTGTTTAAAAAGTTCGTTCGGTCTCCAGCAACTATACGCCTATTTACACATACGACCCACCACTAATCAAACACCATACAATGCACGAACATATAATGCGTCTATAAACAATAATAATAATAATATAATAAACGTTCGGTATATAATGACAATATTTGTCGTCGTCGTCGCTCGCAAACAAACGACGTCCCCGCGTAGGTACCCTATATACTCGGTGCTCAGATTAGATAATAACGAGCACTTCCTATTTAATAATATTATATAATATTGGTAATAACTAATAATAATGTCATAAACTCATAAGTGACGACGCCGCTAATGAGACAGAAAGACCAACACGGTACGTTTTTCCGAAAGACAGAGGTGTCGTATGAAAACACATCGTTACTATTAATATTATTATGCACACAACACGACACGTGCGCTTCTTTTGCGCCTAAAAAGTCGTCCGATTTCGTATTTATTTTGTCATCCGCGTCGCACGGCACTGACTGCCGACAATGAATTTTCTCTGTCTCTGTCTCTCTTCTCGCAGCGATTTTCCGCGGGGCTTAACGTTATCCCGGGAGTCGAACGGAATACGAATATTATTTACTCACCACCTGCTGAATACATAACAGGTGTCATATACATTATGCGATGCACTAAATTCACAGTGTGAAATCGTGGGTGCCATTCGTAAATATTTCCGTTGCAGCGTTGCACAGCGGCAATAGGCTGCAAAGCCCCCTTTTCGTGACACGCGTTGGTTTAATGTTACTGTGTTGTTGCTATTATTATTATTATAATTATTATTATTATTATTAATAGTATACCATTTAATATTGTACTACTCCGGGACGAAAAATATATTTTATACATTGTGTTGTCGCGGCTTCGTTTTCGTGTATACATACATTTGCAGTTCGTATACAGGCACATTTGTACAGGGTTTTCCCGTGCAGTCGATCGTATGACACACAATACCGGATGCTGCTGCAAGTTGCAACATCGACCGTTTTCCGAAATAATAATATATAATATTATTATAATTCGTGTAATACAAGTATAATGATATCCGCATACCGCATGGCTCATGCAGTATTTGCGTCGCGTGATCGGATGTAAATCAAACGAACCATATTTTCGACATTTTTGTGTGGGGTCGGAGACCGCAAATAAACCCATTTCGCCGGTAAACAAATTGTTTTTATACAGGGTGATTCGCTAAAAAAGAATATTTGTATTCTTCAATAATGTAGTCAACAGTCATTTAAAATCTGATTTTTGGAATTTTTAAATATACTTACTTACACACAATATTTAAAAATTACTGAGACTTTTTGCACTATATCTATAGAAGTATCCTGTAACTTCCGTGAAGGTCCACATTTCTGTTTTTCAACTGACAACCCACCTTTTTTACTGGATGATTTTTGTGAAAATTGTGGGTACGTATCAAATTTAGAACGAGTAGTTTTCGAACTATTTAACTTTGTGCACTATGGTCTAAGGTCTAAGTAAAATAATAGAATAAAGATCCGCTATAATGGATTTGGAAAATCTAGGACAGTTGAAAATATTAGTTAAGTAATATAATATATTAATCTATCAATAGATCTACCCAACGTCACAACTATTTTATATTTTTGTAAAACCATTACAAAGGACTATTACCCTAACTCCTTAGTATTAATAACCAAGAAACCATTCCTTTGAATTTCCAATTAGGTGGATAAAAATTTAATATCGATTAAATAATAAGCAGTAGAAAATAGGGGTTTCCTTTAAAAAAGTTTGTATTGCCACAGGACACTAGTTAAGTAATACAAAAAAACTCAACTGTAATAAGCTTGGTTTTCGTTCAACATATGCTAAACAAAATGAACAAAAGTATGATATTATAACATTTACATATTATTATCATTGATGGCTCTAGGTTCAAATATTTTTTTTTAAATTAATTCCATTTCACCGAGTAATATGCATTTATTTTAAATATTATTATTAAAATTACTATTAATGTATAAAAGCGCGGACGTAGTGTTTGTGGTGTCTGCGTGCGTGTGTGTGAGTGTGTGTGCGCGCGAGTGGACTTTTGGCATTAGAACTCGTCTTGTAGATCTCTAATGGCCGCAACACCAGTTTTGCATTTTTTAACGTTTTCTACGATGTCTAATTTTATCTCAGTTAATAATGCAGGTATATACGTATATACGTTCACGAAATTTGTGTTTATAGTCGGTATATACATATATATAATACAATATATACCAACCCGTTTCCCGTAGCGCATTACACAGCAGCGTACACAAAAACAGGTTTTATAATTAAAAAATCGGTTTGATTTAACATATTGTATATAAAAAAAAAAAAGGTATGAGCCAAAACGCATTATAAAATAAATTAAACGCATTTTTCCCAACGTATACTAGCTACACACTTTACGTTATACCTATTGCCCATACAAAAAATATCACAATCCGCTTCTATACGGTGCTGGTTGCTTATATTATTATAATATTAAAAAGGTGTACGAGCGATGACCGTCGGGAGGGCGAGGTTATTCTATTATTTTTCAATTATCGACACCGTATAACCTAATGTAATATGATAATAATATATGATACAGGTACTTCGGTACTTGGATACTTGAAACACCGACAGTGCGTACGTCCAAAAACTCCGTCGCGGTAAATTCAAAATATATTTTTTTAAACCACAACCGGTAAACGTTTAACTCATATTCGTCGATTTTCCTACGTCACGGGCCATCGCAGCAAAACGTGCCTCGTCCCGGGCCGAGCCACCGATATTCGCCAGCATCGTCATCGCGAATACTATTTTGGGATTTTCGAAAAAAAAACTTTTCCGTCGGCCTCGCCCAATTGCGAAGAAAAATCTACCCTTGTCCAGCTCTTACAAATGTATGTCACTACTAAAGTTTATTGATATTACCGTGGCTGTAGTTATTACTCGACGATAAATATTAAACTGCGATTTATTCTGTTTTAGATTATTATCTTACAGGTTGTTGTTGATTTTGTTGTGAGCTTCATAATTCAGTATCCATTAAACATTTCTAAACATTGCTCTCCTCGATGTGTACTTATTACATAATATTGTGTGAAAATATTCTTCAAAAACGACTAAACGTTTCTTCGAGTCGTATAGGTCATTATAATATATTTGTCTCATTCTGACAATGGCATTATAATACCATTTATGACAACACGAACTGGTAGTTTTCAAGTAATTGTTTTTCTCTGCCGACCATATTACTATTACACCCAAATACCTAATATACCAGATATTATGTATCGTAGATCGATCGATCACGATGTAAAAATGATGTTATAGATCGGTATTTAGAATTATTAGGACCATTCTATTTCCACTCAATATACGGTCGTCGTCATAACCAGCCGATCGAGCGCAAAAAGTCTGACAAATTGTGTTTTGCTTTAAATCGGTACACAAATAGAATTATCAGGATTTACGGTGGAGCACTTACGCACATTTGGCCACCCCCGTGACGAACACCCTGCCCCCCTACCCCGTGAAAGACGTGGTCACGACGTGTGTGGACGGTACATACGGTCGTAACTCGTATAATGGAACAACAGCGAGTCGTGCGTCTGTGCCGCCGGTGGTAACGCCGCCTGAACCGCGGTATACGCCAAACATGGCCGTCGGCCCGTAACGTGCATGTAGCACACACACACGGGCGAGCGCGCGCACGCGCACGATCGCAACACACTCGCACTCGAATAATGCGGTTGCGGACGGTTCGTGCGCGTGCGCGAGCGTCCGCCGGTGATGACCGGTTACCGCACCGCTACGACGACGTCGGCCCGTTCGCTGGTATGTCCGTACGAGTTTTTTCATCGCTCTCTTGCCCGCTATCTCACTCTCTCTCACTCAATCTCTCTCTCTCTCTCGGTCCGTTCGACTGTTTGTGTCTCTGTCGTTTCGTTCTTTCCACACACGCTGCCGGCGAGCCGCCGCCGAGTAGAATAATATAATATACAATTATTATTGTTATAATATGCTTACCGGGTACCGTGTCGTCGAAAAAATTCTATGCCTATACGTATTTGGCCGAAGAATACTACCGTGGCGGAAGAAAAAAAAATTCATACAACAACAATGCGTACGACATAATAGGCAATCGAATGACAATTTTTTTTTTCCCCGTCCGAAACGTCGCGCCGCACGACGCACGCCGATTTAGATAAGAACCCGCGATGTTTGCGTACGCGTCATACACCGAGTAAATAATATTATATAAGTACCTTTGTGCCTTGTACACCATCATAATAATATGACTTATTTTCGTACACGCTGCACCCAACAAGTACACACACTCCACGTCTCAAACATAATAATATCATATTATTGCTATTTGCCAACCGCACGAACGTGTACGAGCACACGAAACTCGTCGCTTGGAACCCACTATAATATTGTTGTGCAGACTTGGGTGGAATACTTTTCAAAAGTACTCGAACACATGTGAGAAACAGCATTCGGAATAATTTGTATTCGTATCGAGTAATTAAAATACTTCAAAAGTATTACGATATTAGTTTTTAGTTTTTGTTTTAAAACATATTCAATCAATAATGGTATTTTCCTTCGGGACAATTTGGAATTGGACCCAATAACATACATAATTTTTACAATTCGTAATTTAAGTGGTCGGTACTTGATTCAAAATGTGTATATTAACATTGTAAACATTTTTGTTTCTGTATAGATAAAAAGTATTTTTTATAGGAATAAAATACCTTTGAGTAAATATTCTAAATAGTTATTCTGAGTTACTTTTGAGTAAAGTATTTTAAAAATACTGCCCAATACTGCACTTGTATTATATGTCCTTATTATAAGTAGTAAGTACACAACGAGTACACACTATTATTGCATTGACTATGAAGGCTATGAATTAGAACAAAATATCAATGGTGCCCATTTCACATTTTTGCTCTAATCATTATAACTTGGCTTTACCGTCACACGAATATTATTCTAAAACGATAATATCGATAATACTATTTATGGGCATCCAATTGATTGATTCATATTATTATTCATGTGTAACGTTGTCTACTCATGTTTTTTTTATTTTAATCTATTGTCGGTCTATAAAATGTATGTGAAGAAATCGACGTTGTCGATCGTGTCTCATTAAAATGTCCTTATTATATTCAATTCGAATTTGTGTCATCATCAGAAACATTGATTTTTAATTTATCATTTAATTATCCGTACGAGTTAATAATAATAATAAGTTAAAATTGTTAAGATGGTTTGAAAAACGCATAAATAGAAATTATTAAGCATAGTGATTAGTGATTACACACAACAAGCTACATAACGGGAAGGGCGGGGGGATAAAAAAGTAAGTACCTACAGAATGATTCGCCAAGCATGCTCTCGCCACCCTTTTATCCTATAATTAGTAATACATTTTTTTTAAGTAATATAATATATTGTAATTTTTATTTTTAGAGACCTTTCAAGTACTTGGTGGCGGTCAGACTTCATGCTTATAAATTCCACTCTTTCGACCACACATTGTAAAATTGATGATATTCGTGTTTGAAAACTTTGATGTCCCTAGATCACGAGTATATAATATAATACATATATATATCAATATATGACGTACCGTTTAGCAAAACATCAAATTAAATATTGACTAAGTACTTTTTACAATTTTAGAATAAACAATTATTTATTAAAGGGTCATACGATTTACAATTAATATAGACTTATGGAGCAAGATATAATAATTTCGATTTTCTATTATTTTTGCTCAAAATAATCATACTAACGTCAGTACGTCACGGCAATTTAAATTCCATTAATACTAAATAACATTTTGAATGTCCGAAACACTAATTTCATTAGCACATCACAACACAACAGGTGTTTTTGAATCGCTCGTTGAAATAAAAAACGCCGGGTCATCGACATTAGACCGGATTGGTATAAAACATGTACACACATTTCCTTTGGCTATAGGAATAACGTTGAGCAAATGTGAAAGTTTACGACCACCGCCAAAGAGGGAACGAAATATTTTCAGCCTGTTTTTTTTTTTTTTTAATATCGAAAACTTAATTTTGTTTCCGTTAAAGTTTTTAAAATATGTGATAGGTAGGTATAATATAATTAATATTATATTATTATCACAATACGTATATAATACAACTACTGTCTGAATAATAGCACAAGTTATACAGCTTGTTAAAATAATAATCTTTGCTATATTACATAACGAGTATTAGGATAAAAATATTTAGTTCATGTGTTCATTGGTTCTACAACTCGATTTACGTTAATTTTACATAATTCAAGCTCAACATCTATTATTAATCATACAGAATAGTAAAATAGGAAACCTCTGGATATTTATGTAGGACGATCCAGCTATCAAAGATGCCGTTCACGTATTCGAACAATATTTTAACACACTCACACAACAGTCTCTTTTGTACATATCTCGGCCATTATAATTGTACTATTATATAAAAAAATATTAGTTTAATGAAACACCCAATATTGTTGTATACTAAATAATGTCATGATTTTTTTTCAAATAAAATAAATAGTTGTAAAATTTGTATGACTTTTTTGAATCACCTAATACAATAAATAATTACTATTAAATAGGTATTAAATATATTTCATAAACGAGTATCAAGTTATTTAAGTGGATATACAATTTAGGTGCCTAAAAATTGAAATGCCCTAACATATGTGTGTAATATATTCTCATTAGTTATTTAAAGGTTTAGAGGACGGAACGCATAATAGTTTCCAAACGTTGAAATAACATCGTAATGAAAACGACTGCGACTACGATGTTGTCAAACGTGTCCAAACTATTACAACCTAATAGTGAAATTTATTGTGAAATAATTATTTTCAAACTGACTGGTCAAATCGTAAGACTGCAATATAGATACTGGAGAGTAAAGTAGAAACGTAAATTGATATATTTATAGTTTCTTTCGCGCGAAGAATAATTGACACTGTTGGTCTGTACTCGGATAAAGTTTTGGCTAAATGTTAGGGAAACCGAGGAAGTTTGGTTGTGAAACGGTGAGAATCTATACAACGCAGTCGACATTCTGGAATAGTCTCCTCAGCGTATTATACAATATTAGTGTTGTGTGCAGACCGAACCGAAAATGTAAGGCAATAATAAACGCAGTACACAAACGACATTAAACTGAGTATAATATTTTATAATATCGTATGAAATCCCGTTGGGGTTCGGTTCTGTTTGCAAATACCAGTCACCCGCGTCGCCGGCGATAGGTATTTAGATATTATCCAAAACTCCGGCACATAAGACATCAAAAAATATAAAGGTGGAGTCACACACACACACTCTAAGTCATATCGATATCAACGACTTGGGCCCCCCAATAGAATTCCTTGTTGTTTTTTTTTTTTTTAATGCGGGGCAACATCACTAGTTACCACACAAATCCACCTTGACATTCTCACATTTCAAACGCGTTATACACTTGCTTTTACCTACCAACATTCCATCGCACGCGGCATTGCGTATTCTCTCGGAAGAGATAGATATACATAAAAAGAAAGAGGTGAATAAAACGCACACAAATCGCAACTGACGTTAAGGGATTCGAAGCGTACCTACATACACACCCGTCTTGGGTCACGTAAAAAAAAAATCGCAATCGAGGTGATTAAGACTATTACATGGTTTTCACCAGCGGTATAGGACTGTATCGGAGGTATAATTCACGTACGTCGGTTAAAAGCATTATTGTCTCGTAATAATGTTTTATCCTGCAGGGTATCTAAAAACAGGATAATTATCATTTGATAAGCGTGTCTAGCAATAGGAAAAACACCGACAAGATACGACTGCAGAAACCGGATGTAGAACACTCGTTTCGCTTCTCTCACCTCCGTGAAAGAAAGATAGAGTAGTTGTGTAATTATAACTATACATTTGAATGCAATAATAAATCATTGCACGCCTAAAATGGCTGCAAGCGAAGCTCGATTTAGTAGTGTTTTGATTACGTTAATTTGAAAATGTTGTTAAAGATCTAAAGTTCTTCAGGTAATTAATAATTTAATGTTATTTTAGACGTCCAATAAATATTTAGGTATTAGGCAATGAGTAAATGGAGTGTAACCCTGTGCCTATTAATATAATAATATACAAAACTACAAATTATATCATGTAAAATATTAACCAGATGTGACAAACGATTTTTGAGATTTTTGAATTATTCTAGCTAATATACCATGTCACTATAATCAGTAGTCGCTGACCTTGTACATGAAGTTTGTAGGTCTTTAGGAAAAATCTTAAATTGGGCAATATATATATTACATAATTTATAACTATAAAACTGAAAAATGAAATTATATCAATATTTATGACTTATCTTGGGGTAGTATTTCTGAGCGTGATAAAATTTAACAGAAAATCAAAAAATTATCGGTTTTGAGCCAAAAAACGAAAAATTATAACCTAAAAAACTCAAGTGAAACGAAATAATAGCTTAGTTTTGTATTAGTACAACAATTAACAATTTATTATAATAATATCATACTCTTAATATAAAACAATAATATTAATTGTTGATTTTACCAAAAAAAGTTTCAAATGATTTCGAAGTATAGGTTCGTATAATACAGCACACGCGCACAATAGATATTTTAAAATATAATTCGTAAGCACTCAAAACACACGACAAAGGTTATACTTTGGAATAATATTTTGTAGTTGAATATATTAATATCCATCCCATTAGTTACAGAATCCAGATGCAAATGAATGTACCTATACAATACCGTAAGATTTTATCGGTCAACTCTCGCCATACTTGCCTACGCGGGTATAATGTATAGTAATGTATAAACGAGCTTACGGCAAGGATTGCATTCCTCGGAGGATTATAAAATGTATCATCTCAAAATATTCGTTTGTTACGATCCGATTTTTCTGTTCATATTCTTCTTATACACCATCATATTAATGGACCGTCATTAACTGTCAAGTGATACCGAAATATTGTTAGGATCGACAAATTTACTTTTTAAAATATCTGTAGAATAATAATTGTAAGTGCTCAAAAGTGCAGAACACAACAATAATGAAACATGTTTAAACATTCATAATTCTTAATAAATTAAGGTTCGTTTACGTAAATTAATGAACAAATAGGATTATTATTTCTTCGTTTTATAGCGTTAAATTAATAAATTACATAAAGAAGAGACATTTTATTTTTGTTTTGTAAAATAACAAGAGTACTCAGTGCAATACAATATAATACGGACATTTTATTTTTTCAAATAAGATCATATGAGATAAATTATTATTTTCATTAAGTTTACGTATTTTCAAACCATGATCATTGTAATCAGCACGACTGTACCTATCTTAGTGTGTATTTGTATAGCATATATAATACTAGTGATTGTTTAAATTAGAAATTGCGTTATTAAGATTTAATGCATTGCAAATACATTGGCGGCCCCTCTATATTCATTTAAAAATCGATTAATACAAATTGTGTACTTCATATCAAATAGGGGGGTGGTTTGTTTGTGTAGGGCGCATAAAATACAAACCTTCAGATTTAAAACAGTAATAAATTAGTGTGATCCCGAAGTCCTCTCCAATCCTCCCCCTATCCTATACTAATTAAATTTTAACCGCTAAAATGTATTGTTTGTTTTTTAATCGAAAAATAAACTATACTAGTCGACTG